GCCCCTCCCGCGGCTCCCGCAGCTCCTCCCGCCGCCCAACTTTTCCGCCAACGAGCGCTCGGGAGCCGGCGGGGCGACGGCAGACCGCGGTGGGCCGGGAGGCGGGGAGGCCCGCGGTTTCCTCGGACTGGGGAGCAGGGCGAGGTGGAGCGCGCGCGCGCGTGTGTGTGTGCCTGTGCGCGCGTGTTCGTGATCCAGTCCACTGCATCTCTTCTGTCTCTGGTGAGGATTTATCCACATCCAGCAGGCAGCTTTTGGCGCAACGTGAAAAGCTGGGATCCAAATGTCTTCCACCTCGGGGAAAGTCTGGGGTCCTTGCTGGGGCGGCCGGGTGGGCGCAGGAGGAGGGAGACATCGGAGGGAGGTCAGCTTGCCTCGGAGTCGGTTGGAAGGAGGTGTCGTCACCAAATGGCTGGGTCTGTCTTCGCGGGGAGCGAGCAGGGACTCCGCTTGCCAAGAGGGGGTGATGTTCTGCTTAGACTGTTTCGGAGCGGGTCGCAAGTTTGGGGCAGGGGGGCGTCTGCTGTGGAGCCCGGGCATAGGGCGGGGGCGGGGACAGCCGGATCCGAGTGGTTTCTGGGGTGGGGGAAGGGTGAAGTTTTGCCCGGTGCGGTCCGTGGGCAGCGGCGCGGGTCATTTCTGTGGCCCAGAATCCCACTCCCTGCTCCCGTTATGTAGAGGGGCGTGAGAGAGTCGAGAACCCACATTTACAGGGAAGTTTACTGACGTTGGAGATGGGGTTCAGAGAGGGTACAGACCCCTTGTGAGACAGCGAGACACCTTTTGTGGGATGGATGTGGAGGGGCTGCTGCTGTTTTCTGGCCCTAGAAGCTATTAGCCCACTTAAAAAGCGTTTCTACGGTGCCTTTCTCCCCCCACCCCGCCCCCATTTCCCAGATGTGGAAGCCGCATCTGGTTCCGTTTCACCCCACACGGGTACACCGCAGCCACATTAGCATCCCTCTTCCTCCCTTCCCCCTCCCCCTAACTAAAGCTGGAATTCTGTAACTTGTCCTCACCACCTCCCTCCTTAAAATTTCTTACCGTAAGGCTTGGAGACGTGGCTTTAGGGTGGGGGAAGAAAAGAAAGTTATCTTGGATCCCAAGTTATGTAGGGTCTCACCAAACTAGTTAATTCTCCACTGCTGGTGGGTGGCGGTTGGGGTGCTTCCTATGTTGTGGGGAAAGAGTGATCTCGGGAGATGGGGCAGGGTTTGGGGGTGGGGTGGCGTGGCGCTTATGAACGCTTCCTATGCTAGAAGTGGCCTGTGATCGTGGATCTGGCCCAGAACTGGCACTGACAGATGTTTGTGGAACAACCAAAGCGCTGCTTTCTCTTCCTGGAGTTGCAGCTGGAGCTCGGTGCCAGAGCGGGCCCACCCCCGGCCGCGGTCGGGGCGCCCCGGGTCGGTGCCTACCGTCCCGGACCGAGACAGGCGGTGGCTGCCGGGGGCGCTCCTCGAGCGTTTTTAGGGAGTCTCGGGGGCTGCAGTCCTCGGAAACTTAAATAGCGGCCGCAGGTTTGAAGGCGGGGTGGGGGTGGCGTGTCGAGTTGTTTTTGAATATTCTTTGAGGCAGGAAATCAGCCCAGGGTGCAGGGTTGCGGTGCCCAGGGAGAGTTGGTCCCTCTCACCTTCTTTCCAGTCTCTTTTCAAATTGAAAACACTTCCCTGGTTTCCTTCTTTGGGCGGTAGTTTTGGAGGCTGTAATGAAATCACACTTTCTCTAGACATGGTAATTAAGGTGACTGTTTCCTCCCCAGATGTGCCCTGCCCTTTGCGCCTCCGGACCATGCTTTTTTTAGAATACCATGTAAATCGCAGAACCTTTTCCTTGAGACTGTGGAGCAGAAAGTGGCCATTTTCCTCCCTTGGCCCGCGCTCCGGGTTTCCTCTCTGTGGCTTGTTTAAAAGCTAAGCAGCCGAGCCCCCAGAGACGTGCTCGGTCTGGCTAATTACCCCACGCCTGGGTCATCTCCCTTCCTTTTCCATGACCCAGGGCCGCAAGCTCTGCCATGGCCCTGCGTCGGTCCCTGTGGCCGCCTCCCTCCCTAATGACTTGTTTACATATTTGCCCCCAGTTGGTTGGGAGACCTCCAAGGCTGCTGCTGACCCTCACAGTGCAGGGTGTCTGGGGACAGGGAGGGCTGAGCTGCCTCCAGCTGGGATGTTTATGTGCTGCATCAGTGATGAGCTCCTTGAAATATCTGTTGCTTTTCCTCTTAGTCATAGCTGAGTGTCAGCTTTTTAATGAGGGTCATCCGGATGGAGAGCCACTCCAACACGTGCACTTTCACTGTCTGCTTTTACCGTGCCCTTAGAAATGCCCTTTTTCTTTTCTTTGTCTTTTTGAGACAGGATCTTGCTATGCAGTTCAGGCTGGCCTTGAGCTCACTTTGTAACCCAGGCTGGTCTCAAACTCCCAACAATCCTCCTGCCTCAGCCTCCCAAGTGCTGGGATTACAGGTGTGCATCACCACGTCCGGCTCAGTAATGCCGGAAATGGAAAATACTTCCATTTTGGAAGTATTTTCACAATGGGGTTTGGGCCAAAGTGGGCACCACTTTCTTTGGCTTCAGAGTAGACAGCCTTAGGGTACTGCTCTTTGCTTGGCCTCTGGCCATGGAGGATGTGAGAAAGTTCCATTTGGTGCCCTTACGACTGCAAGTGAAGGAACAGGATGAAATGAAGCAGGAGCAATGCAGATGTTAGCCCTTCCTCCTTAGGGGAGAGGATTAGAATACATCCAGGCATCCCCGAGCCCAGGCTCGCTTTATTTTCCTAGTCACTCTAGAGGGCAAGAAAACTGACTTGAACATCGGAAGGAAGACGCCTGCCTAGGGAAGGCAGGCAAATCCATGGGCTTTGCTTGTAATGTGTGCTTTTTGTTTATTTGAGGTATTGACCTGAAACAAGACTCCTAAAACAGAGGAGGTTTGCCTGGTGAGGTTGGGGTTTTAGCAGCCAGCTTCTCTGAAGGCTCTTTTCTTGCCTCCATTTTTTAAATCTTTCATCAAAATGGCTGTTAAAGAGCTTCCTCGGAAGTTTGAGCCTGTGGATGCAGGAGGCAAAGGAGTCAGATAGAATTGATTCCAGCACCTTGTTCCGAAAGCGCCTCCTGCACATCACTTGAGATCAGCTTAATTTCCTCTGGGGAAATTTGTCTTGTGTTTGTCTTCCCCAGAGCTCTGTAAATGGTCTGAAAGCTCCAGGGACGGGTAGGAGTCCAGATGTAGAGCTTTAGAGAAGGTTCTGGTTTTGCTAGAGGAGATTAAATACCAGGCAAGGGCTAAGATATTTGTTTTCTCCCAAGGTTGCATCTGCCTTAAACAGAAAGTCTGTCCTCACCCTACCACCCCTTGCATTCAGGAAACCATGCTATTTGGTTTCCCTGCTCACCCCAAATAGTATTCACTTGAGTAAAGAAAGACCTTCAGGATATGTGTGTCCTGTCTTCAGAGTAGGATTTCCTAGATGATGTGACCAGGTTAGTGTTTCATGTTTTGCTAATGCTTCATTCACCTTTCGCTGGCAAGGACATTTGGACACTTTTTTGCAAAGAGTCAGAATAAACAATTACCATGGTACCTTGGTACCCATCGTTAATTGGTTCCAGAAGCTGCAAGGAATACCAAGTTGTTTTGGCTGGAAAGGGTAGCAAGGCAATCAACACCACAAGCTCTAGCTTGCACACGGAGTACGCAACAAACCAGGGATAGTACAACAAATTTTCACATCAAAATGTGTCAAATACCAAAGTTCTATGAGTTTCAAAGCAGTGTAGTACCAAGGTATGATTGTAGCATTTCCTTTGGGCCAACTAAAATTTTTTATACAAAGCTGCCTTTTTTCAAATGTTGATTAAAATACTTGCCCCAACATGGAGCAAAGACTGCTCACTTTTGGGAAAAGTAACTATTTCTGTTAAGTAAGTCTTAATTCCCATCTAAAAGGGATTTTGTGTCACTTCCTCAGCTCTTGGGACACCAAGATGTTAAGAAAGTTTTCACACTTGGTATTCTTTGGAATAGAGTGTGGCTACAACAGGTACTAGCTGTGGCTTTTTTTCTGATATTTTCATTCTGTATTCTTAAAGAGCATCAGTACAGGTTGAATCCTAATCAGAAAATTTGATACTCGTGTCATGTCGTTGATCAAAGTTTTAGATTTCAGACCATTTCTGATTTTGTTAGGCAGACTCTATGCAAATATTCTAAAATCCAAAAGACTTCAAAACCTGAAAAACCTTTAGTCTGAAGTATTTCAGAAAAGGGACACACTTTCATTCATTTATCCATCCATTTAGCAAATATGCCACCATCTGCCGTGCACATACTAGGTGCTAAGGTTGTTGACAGAGATTAGTTAGGCTCAGACTCTGCTCTGAAGAAGCCTGAAGTTTCATGGGAGAGAAACGAGCAGGGAACATAATAACCATGTAAGGGGGCATAAGTGCCGTGAGAGAGAGGCTATAATATGTTTTGGAAGTTCAGAGGAATAGGATTCTCCAGCTAAAAGGTCCATGAAAGAGACAGCCTCTAAAGGTGAGCTCCAATAGGAGGACCCAGCCCATTGCAGAAAGCGGACAAAGAGAGTTACTTATAGTATAGAGGCATAGACATTGCCTCAGGCTCTGTTGTGCAATAGAAATATAACGTAAAGCTAGGCTCCATGATGCACACTATAATCCCAGCACTTTGGGAGACAAGGCAGGAGGATCCCAAATTGAGCCCCGCCTAGGCAAGTGATCAACTTGGCAAGACCCTCCCTGTGTCATTTGAACATGTAATCAATATAAAAAACTTGGGAGGCCTCACTGAGTCACACACCCAGTCTCCAGATAAAAAAGTAATGAGATGAATAACATTCTCTTTTTTCATACTAGGTTTACAAGATCGGTGACTTTTTTCATCTGACACATCCCAGTTTGCAGGAGCCACATTTCACGTGGGCAAGAGAGAGACACATATGACCAGATAAGCCAGCTAGACCGAGAGCGCAGGATGAGGGATACCTTAGGAAAGTCAAAAGTAGGAAGTCTGTGTCCACCTGCCACCAGTTATTAAAATCCAAGTGCCACAGAGGACAATTTTTGTAACTCCTTAGGTTTGACTAGTATTTTAGAGAGGAGAGGGCAGGTCCCTTCATCATACTGTGCACTTGATCCTTGTCACGTGTGATGTGGGGAGGGAAAATATTTCCACCCCCAACAAATGGGGAATTGAAGCTTGGAGAGGCTTAGTGACTGGCCCAAAGTGGCAAGGTCAGACCTAGAAAGACAAGAATTCATTTGTTTATTACCTTAGGAGAACATGAAGACAATACATGAAGCTGGTTTTCCTCGCTTCATTTTTGGACAAGATTTAATGTTCGTAGAATCTTTACTCTTAGAGGTGAAGAGGGATGCAGAGGTGTATGGTCTAGCCACGACTTTCTGACATGCTTAACCTTCTGTTGAATGAGCTCTTGAGAGAGAGGACAGTAAGCGCTTTGTGTTTTCGGTACCGAGAATTGAACTCAGGATCTCACACTTGCCAGGCAGACACTTGTACTGCTGAGCTATATCCTGGGTCCAGTAAGCTCTTTGTTACACCCTGCCTGTTCAGTCCTCGAAACCACTGGGAATATAGGCAGGGCAAATACTTGAGACCTGTCCTACAGTGTGAAAACTGAGGTATTGAGTTCCCCTCTTGGCTCCTCACTGAGGACCTCTCCGCCCAGGCAGGTGGGGCTATGAACCCCAAGTCCCTGGCTGCTGCTGTTGGAGAGACGGAAAGGGAGCCAGCTGCAGGGTCTCTGGGGAAGCTGCTGTGCACACCTGCAAGGCTGCAGGTCACATCTGTCGACAGTGAAGGAAGGAGGCTGTTCCTAAGGGCTTTTAAAAATTCATTAATCAGTAGAATGAGAAGAAGGCGAGGCGGCAGTCCCCAGGATCCCAGACAGCATGTGGACCGGTGCGTTGTGTTCCCTGCATTTTCTGCAGGTGTGTGCAATGGAGTGTGTGCCACTCACCTTCTCTCCGGAGTTGTTGCCAGGAGGCCTGGTGTGCCCAGAATCCTTGTTTTACAGATGTGAAGCTTGACTTTTGCACAGATTTTTCGGAAAGTGAGTCACAGGGAAGCTGGCAGATTAGTCTGAAGTACACATATCATGGGGCTAAAAACACTCGCAAGGAGGTGGGCAGGTTTGTGAGAACAGGTGATAAGTGCAATGGAAGCTGCCTGTCTGCCACAGTTGAAACTAAGCTTGATCATCTCAAGATGATCCCACCTTCTCCTGTCCTCCCTTTTGGGGTGTTAAAGATTCATTCGATAGCCTGGCAGTTACTGTGGAACCTTTTCAGGTGATAGGCCTACATCAGTTAGGTGTATCTTTGGGATAGTGACATGGTTTAGAGATGCCCTGGGGAGTATTGCTTCTGTACCAGACTAGAGATTATGCTCCATTCTGGGTCCTGGTTGGCCCATCTGAGGTTAGCTTCAGGGGCCTTTCTATCCACCAGAGCACTTTGGCAGTCCATCATTCACTATTTGTCCTTATCCACTTGATTTCTTGATCGGATGAGAATCCTTTTGCATCTGCATGGATAGAATCCTTTTTTGTTATTGTTTTGCAAGGCGCTGAGATCAAACCCAAGACCTCACTTATACTAGGCAAGCACTGTACCACTGAACCACATCCTCAGCCATAGATCAGCCTGGCGCCTTATTTGCATTCTACCACCCTGAAAACCTGGGTGATCTGAATACTGATGTTCCTGTACTTTATCAGCTTCGTGGCTACCAGCAAAGTGTTTAACCTCTTGAGCTTGAGTTCTCCACTGCTTGAAGGTCAACCATACTTTGATCCCCAAGAATATAGTGAGGAGTCATTCATGATTTATACTTACGAATTGTGCCTTGGCACACAATAGATATTCCTTCTGTTTCCAGTACCCTTCCTAAATTTAGCAAAATGAAAGAAATGTTTACTTCAACTTTAATTTGAAATTATTAAAAGTTCAGTAAATCTTGGGAGGGAGCTGGTGGTGGTGTGTACATATTCCCACTGGTGTAGCACATGCGAATGAAGCCAAGAATCCAAGGGTCTCCTGCCAGCCAGGCCTGACTCACTGCAGAGGGGCCCTACCTCACTGGGGAGGCGGGCACAGCACCACATGAAGGTATGTTCTGGGAAGCAGATTCTCTGAATAACTTGGGTGGTTCCCTGGAGCACTGGGGCCAGAAGCCACCTGGAAACCAGAGATGGTTTCCCCCACACACAGCCCGAGTAATGCCCAGAAGATCTCGTCCCTTTGTGTCTGACAGCAACAGTCTGCTCTTTAAGACCCTAGAGAGCCATGTTAGATTTTCTCATTGCAGACCTGAGAAAGGGTCAGGAGTGTTGCTGCAGTTGGGATTCATGAGCCATCTTTTTTTTTTTTTTTTTTTTTTTTTTTTCTTCTGGTACCAGGAATCAAACTCATGACCTTGCACTTGCCAGGCAGGCACTTTGCCGCTGAGCTAAATCCCCAGCCCCTCATGAGCCATCTTTGAGTCAGCTCTTATACCTGACTGTGCAGTTGGCCCTTCCCCTCCAACCCCGTCCTGACTTCTGGACTCTATTCCAGCAGCCAGCAGCTGTCACCTCCCAGTGCTAGTGAGAACAAGCTCTGCCTCATGGACCTACACAGAGGTTCTAGTAAGCAGTTAGTGAGGCTTGTAGAACTAGAGATGCCCGTGATTCACACAGTTTTGGAAGCAAAAAGAAAGAACTCTGGAGGGCCAGAGCTATGGCTTAGTGGTAGAGTGCTTGCCTAGCATGTGTAAGGTCCTGGGTTTGATCCCGAGCACCACAACAAAGCAAAAAGAAAAACAAAACAACCCTGGAGATCATGCCTTTGAGTTTCTTCCTTTCATACCTCCAGGGAGGGTAAACATGTTCCTTGAGTCCCAAAGCTACTAACTAGTTATCCATGTACTTGGCTCCTGTTTCTTTGTTCTTGGCCTGTTCTCAATTCTTCTTCTCTCTGCATTCCTCACCAAAGGGATGGGATTGCCCTAGACAGAATAAAGTCCTATAATGGGGAGTCATAGAATGCTTCCATCTCCTGCAGTTAACTTCACAGCGCTTTGTGAAGCCTCACCTACAGAGTGGCAGAGAGGCTGAGTTATTCTGGAGGCCATTCATTCCCTAGCACAAATGATCTTGTAGTTGCCTGCACTCAAACCATCGTTGCAGAGTTAAACTATGTTTGCTTTCCATTACTACAACAAAATACTTGTGGTAATTAACTTTTTTTTTTCTTTTTTGAGACAGGGTCTCTCTATGCAGTTCAGGCGGGCCTTGAGCTCATTTTGTAGCCCAGGCTGGTTTCAAACTGGCAACGGTCCTCCTGTCTCAGTTTGAGTGCTGCGATTATAGGTGTGCACAACCATGCCCAGTGAATCTTTCATTTTAATAAGTTAATTACCACCAGGTGTGGTGGCGCATGCCTGTAATCCCAGCACTCAGGCTGAGGCAGGAGGATCCTCACGAGTTCGAGACCAGCCTGGGCTACAAAGTGAGCTCAAGGCCAGTCTGAACTCCATAGTGAGACCCTGTCTCAAAAAGACAAAAAAAAAAAAAAAAGATTCATTTAGCTTACAGTTTGGGAGGTTTGTTGCCTTGGGGCCTGTGGCAAGTGGGCACATGACAGTGAATGTACAGCAGAAGAAACTGCTCACCTCCTGGCCACAAATGAAAAAGAAGAGGAAGGAGCCAGGTTCCCGCCATCCCCTTCCAGTGCCTAACTAGCCTCAACCCTGGTGACCTAAAATCTCCACGAGGCTCCATCATCTCTTAAGGGCGCCGCCACCTCCCAGTAGCACCTGCCTGGGGAACAAGCCCTTTACACCTGGGCCCGTGGGAGAACATTCCAGAACCAAACCACAATGTGAACAGAAACACCCCTCAGTCTAGTAGCCCCTGATCAGTGTTGCGGTAGGCTCAGTGACTGCACCTCAAAGAGCGGTTGTTCCGAGTGCACTTCTAGACCAGGTGGCTGTGTGATCTGCTTTAGCTTCTTTTTCCTGTTGCCTCTCCCTTCTCAGCCCCTCTTCACTTTTTGACTTTTTCTTTCCTCAGAGTCAACTGGAGAAGGAGGATCAAGGTGGAATATCCATGGAGATGTGGAACCTGGTCACCAACTTCTAACTGCAGAACTGGGATGTGGAGCTGGAAGTGCCTCCTCTTCTGGGCTGTGCTGGTCACAGCCACACTGTGCACTGCCAGGCCGGCCCCGACCTTGTCTGAACAAGGTAAGGCGACAGGCTGGGGGTCATCCCAGACTGGCACTGAGGGGACATGGCCAGAGGCGATGTGATCGACCAGGAGGGTTCTTTCCCAGGTGGAGCAGAGGGCTTCTTCCCTGTGGGAGACATGCCTGAGAGACCTGGTCGTAAACCTAACCAAATGAATCAGAGGTTGGGGTCATGAAGGTGACTGACATTCATTTGCCAGAGATGATGTGCTTAGAGTGGTTTATGTTTTTCTTTTCCTGAGGAAAGAACATGACTGGGACCCTAGTGCTGTCCTATTAACCTAAGAATTGTGTAAAGGGGGTTAGGCGGCACAGTGAGGGAGAAGGAACCATGAATTTATGCTTTGGATTTGGGTCAGAGGACACTGTAGGATGCAGGGGCATGGTAATAACGGCCTGCGGCTTCTCAAAAATGTTCGTTTTTTTTTTTTTTTTTTTTCTTTTTTTTAGAAAACGCTTTTAAAGACACAGCTTTTGCAAGGGTGTGCAGTCGAGACCTCATGCTGCCATGCTGCCTTCCTTGACCATGTCTCACAGGCCCAGATCAGGGGCTTGCTGAGCTTTTGCTTTGGAGAAGTTTTATTTTGGGGATTTTGTGGAGACCTGTAATGTGCTAGAAATTCAGAGATTAGTGACAGAAAGACTTGGCCCATTGTTCATGGCGTTTGTTTGAGTTGTGCTGATTTTCCTGAGGATTTTTCTTCTGCTGTACACTCACTACCTTGTGGAGATTACAGGGACAGCAACCAGTACAGCTTCTGAGGCACTCTGAGAGCTAATGTTTGGAGCTTTCTCTTGCCTAGGGATAGTGCAGCTGGTCACAGAGAAGGGTGGAAAGCAGCAAGTAGAGGATTTGGCATGCACATGGTGGGTGGCTGTCTTTCTGGGCTATAGTGTGGCTGTTGGGGACCTGTTGGATGATGGACGGATGTAGGATGTGTCCCCTTCGATGGTGGTGGGAAAGGAGCAGGGAAGGTCGGTCGTGTGAAACTTTCTAGAAAATGCGGCGGCTGGAGTGGGCAAATTCACACGGCCATCAGTGACAGAACTCAAGGCAAGGTCTGAGCTAGAGCCTGCTGGAGAGCAGTGGGACGCTGTCCCTTTAGGTAGGGAGAGACAGAGGCAGAGACTACAAAGCAGAGGTAAAGTGCAGTGAGAATGCAGGGGTAGAGGGGAGTGGAGACCTCAGATCTGGGCATGGAACGGCGGGGGAGTGCAGGGTTTCTAGGGGTACAGCATGAACCAGGGTCCAGAGGCAGGCTGTAGAAGATACTTGGAGAACAGTTTGCTTGTTGAATAGGTAGTTGTGGGAAATAACACCTGAGAAAATGGATTCAATGAGCATATGGAAGTCTTAGTGCCAGGCTCAGGAAATTGTACTTAAATGGTTAGATGCTGAGAAACTTGAAAAGTTTAGGGACATTGTCCAGCTTTCAGAAAATTAACTTGGCAACTGGATTTGGATGGATGGGAGGAAGGAGTCAGGCAGACCTGCATTTTCAGCCTGCTCTGCCACTTGGTGGCTTCATTATACTTGCTTTGACAAATTATTCAAACTCAATAAGCCTTAGTTTGTTGATCTGTAAAATGGGAATAGTAATAAATGTGATAATTAAAATAGAGCACTCATATCAAGAGTTAGTAGTTATTACTGCTACAACCACTATTGACAGAAAGACAAGGGTTATTTTAAGTGTCTACTTAGAGTGAGATTGAGAACTGCAGTGGAGATTGTAAGATTTAAAGGAAGAAAAAGTAGTAAAGACTTTAGAAGTAGAATCTATGCCTTCAGGTAAGTTGAATTTCAATTCTGTGTGACAAGAGACAAGGACGGGATGAGGTGAAAGCGAGAAGGTGCTGTGACGCCCGGCAGTGGTTGCGGGGTGGGAGCAGAGGATTTGCTAAGCCACTGTGTGCCCCTGTGCTGAGAAGGGAGTCCAAGAGCAGCCAGGGCCTGGCAGGGCTTCAGAATGTGGCTATCATGGACCTGAAACACTTCCTCTTTTTCTTTTCAAACACTTTTTCTAAAAAAACTTTGCAGCCTAAGACTGGAGGATGGAAAAAATAAATGGTGCAGATCTGGAGCCCAGGCACTTGTGGGCAGGAAGGAGGTCTCTGGGGGTACAGGCATAAGAGACTGGAGGGGTGCTACAGCTGGGGGTGGGGCGGAGAGGAGGAAGAAAGGAGGAAGCTGGGAGGATGTCACTGAAGCTGCTGTTCTGGATCCAGCCTAGGAAGGAAATAGAAAAAGCGGTGGGGCGGGGTGTGGTCAGAGGTTTTGATGAGGACACAGTAATGACTGAACAGGAGGGAGGGAACACAAGGGGTGGAGACTGTTAAACTGCTATATAGCAGGGAAGACTGAAACTAGACTTCTTTTAAAAATCAACTGCAAATGGTGTAATTCACATACTGCAAAATGTGCTGCTTTTAAGTATATGGTTTGATATAAATGTCTACACTCCATGTAACTATCACCTCAATCAAGATATAGAACATTCTTGACCCCCCCCCCAGAACCTCTTCCTTCAGGTCCCTTTTGCATTCTTCCCCCAGGCAAACCCTGATCCCCTCTCTGTCACCACAGGTTAGCTTTGAATGATGTGGGGTTTCATATAATGGAATTATATGGTAGGCGTGTATCTGTGTACTTGCTGCTGGCCTCCAGAGTCTGTTTTAGTGTATTTTCTGTTGTCATAACAAAATAGCAGAATCTGGCCACTTCTAAGGAAGGGTTATTTAGCTCACAGTATCGGAGGCTGGACATTCAAGAGAGGGGAGCAGCATCTGTTCTGCCTCTGGTGAGGGTCCTCAGGTCTGTGTTACAGAATGGCAGAGGTATGCCACTGTGTGTGTGTGCGCGCGCGCTCGCGCGTGTGTGTAAGAGGGTCACAAGACAAAAGAGCCACACCCAGGGAGGGACTAGTCTTTCTTTTTTTTTTTTTAGTCTTTTTGAGGCAAGGTCTCACTATGCAGTTCAGGCTGACCTTGAGCTTGCTTTGTAGTTTAAGGTGGTCTTGAACTCAACAGTCCTCCTGCCTCAACCTCCAAGTGCTGGGATTACAGGTGTGCACCACCACGCTGGCAGGGAGGGACTAGTCTTGCTGGGTTTTTTTTTTTTTTTTTTGGTGATAGGATTTCATTGTGTCTTCTAGGCTGGCCTTGAACTCTATCCTCCTGCCTCAGCCTCCCAAGTGTGGAGATTACCAGAGGACACCACCACGCCTAGCTCTGTCTAGCTCTTTTGTTTTTTGTGATGGGTTTCTCCATATATTCCAGGTTGGGTGATCCTTCTACCTCAGCCTCCTGACTGCTGGGATCATGGGTGTGCGCCACCATACCTAGTTTCATCTGTCTCTCTTTTGTAGCAACTTGCTTTCACAGGAACTAGGGGGTCCTAACCCAGAAATGCTCCTCATGACCTTCACTAAGCCTCACCTCTTGAAAGATTTCGATGCTTTGCAGGGAGGGCATGGTAGCGCACTCCTATAATCCAAGCACTTGGGAGGTTGAGGCTGGGGGATCACGGAGTTCAGGCCAGCCTGGGCCACAAAAGTGAGTTCAAGGCCAGCCTGCACTATATAGTGAGACCTTGTCTCAAAAACGAAACCAAACCAAACAATGATTTCAGCACCTTTTAAGAGTGTCATGCTGAGGACCCAGCTTCCAACATATGGCACCTCGGGGGGCATACCAAACACAGCACTCATGAACAGTTGTGCCCATTATCAGTAAACCTACTGTGAATGTTCCTGCTCGAGTCTCCCTGTGTGCATGCATTTCCTTGGACTGCCTTTGTCTCCGTTTGTCCCCCCACCGTCTTGCTCATGCTTGGCTCTTGGGAACGTCCTCTCTGTATGTTCTGTCAGTGACGAATGTGCATGAGACTGAATGGGCACGTGCACAGAGCTCTTAGTGCCTGCTCCACAGGCAGTGAGCCATCAAGGGCCGCTCTTGGCCCATTGTCCCAGGACCCCAGAGGACACCACATGGTGAGGGGCCTGCAGTTGTGTGCCTTGGGACACAGCAGTGGAGGCAGTTGGGTGCGCTTAGTCTCTGCATATCCTCATGACTCTGTGAGTCCTGCCATCTTCAGAGAGCATGGCCATGATTGTGATCTCGTGAGAACAGATCTGTCTTCATGCTTTGGAAACTTGAAGGAACCTTACATACATAAAGTATACTGACTGCATGGTCCTGGCCTTGCTGATGATAATGCTGTTATTGTCCTCAAAAACATAATTTATACACAGGATTTGTCCAAGAGTTGAAAGCAAACTACCCTGTACGCTGCTCACACTAAGAGCCCTTCCCTTTTAAAAAGACTGTGCTGTAATGTGTGTGCGTGTGCACGTGCACGCGCGCACATTGGCAGCCCCTCCCCCAGTTAAGCGCAATCCTAGCAGTCTACAGAGGCTCCTGTGGGACCAGGAGGCCTGGAGTTTCTGGCTGTCCTTGGAAAGTTGATTTAATAAGGTTCCAGGAAAGCCAGCTCCCTCTTTTTCCTCCCTCTGCTTGCCCTTGCAAAGCGATCTTAACCACTGAGGCTTGGGCTGGTTTTGGATCAGGCCCCGAGGCTTGTGGGTGGACTGAAGCTGCCTTGCACAGGCCAAAGGGTATCGTACCTCTTTCAAAAGATAGGCACCAACTGGAAAGACATTTTTGAGTTAGAGGAGGGCTATTTCCAAGTCTTTTTTTTTTTTTTCCTTAAAATTGGACTTGGAGGGAAAAGTGAGTGAGTGCAACCAGAACCATTTGTAAGGCCACTTCTCATGGTTGGGAATGGGGTCCTACCCCCTTTTTAGCAGTTACAAGGGCTGGATACCCTGGACCCCGCTCTGTAGGTCGTAGTGAGGGAGACTTCAGTCTCTATACTTGCCCTTCTCCACGGGAACCTGCAACTTATAAGTGATTTAATGGGCTGAGGTTTTACAGCTCCTCCCACCCACCCAGATTTGAAGGAGTCTGGTGGCCAGTTGAAGGGGGCAAGGTTTTGCT